ACACACACACACACACACACACACACACACACACACACACACACACACACACACACACACACCATACATATATGAATATTGTTGACAAATGTAGTATTGTTACATAGCCACGAATATATTTCCGGTAATTGAGGCTTTATCCTTGAATCCTTGACAATACCGACATATCAGGTATAAAAGATATGGAAAGGCATGTTGACAAATCGCAAGCCAGTGATAAGCTTTCCTATTCAGCAAACGATGTGATATTGTTTTACATCGATCTAAGAATTATTATTATTATGACTTCCTACAATCTATATATGTATATTTTATCATTGAATAGTTTGCGCTGTTCATCGAAATCTAAGCTGTAATCGCTAATATAACTAATATAACAAATAACGGGTACATGTTCGTTTGCCTTAATCCTCCTGATATTAGAGTTCTCCATTTTATGAAAATATTTTCGTAATAGAAATTAATAAAAATTTAACATTGACATTTTTAAAAGTAGGCAACAGAGCTCCACGGCGGTACAATCGTTGAATTTATTATAAAAAGAAATAAATTGTCTACGATGTATATTCCTATCAAATAATAATCACGAACAATCTCAGTCTCATTTCGTTCGTACAGATTATTTTCCCAAGATTCTTTTTCAAGAAATCCGTTATTAATGGACTTAGTTTAGAAGCCAAAATTTCAATCAATTTTCACTGGCTATTCGTTTCTATAACAAGAATGATTACTGACTATTAGCTTCCAAGTCCATATCCGACCAAATGGCTTCAGTCTCGCTCTCCTCGGGTGCTTCATCGTTATCTGTATCTGGCAGACCGTCACCGACATCATAGGTCGTATCAGCCTGTTCCTCACCAACGGTCATATAATAAGCGGAATCCAATTTACTAGAAGAATTGTCTAATCTGTGCATTCCCTCTATAGCTCTCCTGTTGTTTGGATCAAAACTGAAAACAAAAATTAGATAAGCTTCACCTAGATTTATGATGTAAATCAACAATTACAAAAATGAAATATGTACTTTAAAGCTATCACATAATGATCTAGAGCCTTCTCTTCATTGTGCATTCTTGCCCATAAGTCTCCCAAAGTTTGATGGAGCTTACAGGTAGAGTGAATCTCCACCTGTCTCTCGAGTAGTTCGATGGCTGCTTCCAAATTCATTTCCTGTTCGTATATCTCCGCGAGTAAATACACTGCAGGTAAGTAGACTTCATCTTGAGATAAAGCTTTTTCGAGAAGGTTTTTAGCTTTGCTCACTGACACAGGATCTTTCATCAAGACGGATGCATATAACTGCAAACGGAAAATGCATTGTTATATATTTTTTAATTTACACTTCGGATAAATTTTCTTTTAACTTTAACTCACTGTTAGAACTCTTGTGGTGTGTCCAAGTTGTTTGCAAGAGCTGCTGGCGATATTCAGAGCCTCTCGCAACCTATGCATCCCAACAAGACAATCTACTAAACCTTTATGCGGTTCATATCTATATGGTTTCAATTGCACGGCGTGCCTAAAAAAGAACAAAGCGTCCTGATACTTCTTTTGCTCGATAAGAAGATTACCCCGTAATATGGTGGCCTCTATGTCGTTAGGATTCAAATTTAACGCCTGAGCAGTAAGAGTATTTGCTCTGCTAAACTTTCTAGCGGCAAACAAAGAATATGCCATTGCTACATAAATTTCGCCAGTACATTCATTGTTAGCAGTTATCGCTGGTATCAGCCGTTCCAATTCTTTGATATGGTGCATTTTGTATAGAACTGCAGCATACATGTCCACCCTGTAGAGAAGTAACAAACAATAAGTATTTATGTGTAATATATATATAAATAAATCTCTAAATGTGGACTTACCCTTTTGTTATATCTGGCTCAATAACGCGAGCTCGCCTCAGACACAGCAGAGCATTCTTATCATCACCCGCATAATAATAACACTCGCCCATGATAGTCAATAGATTGAAATTATCTCTAAGCAAAACAACATTGTCCAATGACCTTAAAGTACTCACGGCATGCGTGTATTCTCTATTATGAATGTGTGCATGAGCTTTGATCCACGTATTAAGCCATTCCAAATTCATCGAGTTCGAGATAGAGCCGACGATCAGAGAATTGACTTCCACACCCTTTACTCCTAAAGAAAGGAGACCTTCGGCTGCTTCTAAAGCCAATGGACATTCTTTCAACACTTCTTTGTACGTGGTAATAGCAGACCGTTCCATTCCTTGCTCATGGAACATCTTGGCTAGTGCCATGTTTACTTTGGCAGTACGCTGCTTGCCAGGGATGCTCTGTAGCACTTGCAAAGCTTCTTGCAGATTCTTGGACTTGACTAGGCACAAGTGGATCTGATATTTGATGTTGACATCCGACGGCAGATCCTTCTGTCCATCCAATAAAGGTTTCCCTGTACCTTTGGACTTTAACAAACACTTACGGAACTGCAGAGCCTTCTTGTAGAGAGTCTCTGCTCTACGATATTTGCCTAAATGAAAATGAGCATCTGCGTAATAAACATATACGTGAAACTTGCTGTAACCAGGTAGCAAGTCAGTGTTGTGTTCGCTGAGAGAGAGCACCAAGTTCGTCAGAGAGATCACATTGCAATAAAGTGCCTGATCATAAAGCAACTTGATTTGCTCGAATAATCCTGACATGATTAATCTTGTTTTTTTTTTTTAAATAAAATTTGCTTCAGATTTCTAACGGACTTCAAATTGTGCGATAATAATACCAAAAGGAAGCGTGAGATTCTCAAAATTTCACAGACTGTAACATCACAAAAACGCCAAATCTTACAAAAATCATTATTCCTATCTTCAATTAAATACTCATTTTTCTTTCTGCATTTTTAAACTGGCACTATTACAGGATGACGTGAGCGTTCGTTTCTGTTGGGAATATTCTTTCAACATATATTGTTTTTAAGTTTTTATGTTCCACCAGGAAGGTAAATATAACCTGAAAACAATTCGGAGACGCTAAACGCGAATTGCAGTGAAATGCTTGCACGATAGACCGACAGAGAACGTTGCAGTATGCTGCGCGATACTTCATACAAATACGAACCGATTACAGAGCGCTATTTACGTTTTTCCAAGAATAATTTAATTTGCATCGTTTATTTCATGCAATATTTTCGTATCCTAGAAACCGGATTTAAACGATTTCCAATAATTACATCTTCTGTTGCTAATTCCCATAATTATACGTTATCACAAGAAAACAAAATTATCAACAAATATACTGATTCGAAATTGCCTCATTTGATTTCTGTATTTTTACAAGGATGCAAAATCCAGTAGCGTTTACTGTCCACCACATTTCTGTCAATGTAGATTAACTTTAAAATCGATTTAATTTACTCGTTATCTTCTTTCAATCCTTAGAATTAAAAGAAGATAGAAAAGTAAATAAAAAGTAAGAGATATACGTAGGTAATGTGCCAATATTGCGCTATCATTGCTGAAAATCTATAATTCAAGTTACGTATACTATTGATTTTTAGTACTGGCAGTGTATATTGGAACATAACAGAAGCAGTAGAACGTGATTGGTATTTACCTTTAAATTCAACCAATCATATTCAATAGTAATAGCGAGGTGAAGTTTTTGTTTAAACATCTGAGCATCTGTGATTTGAGCTGCAAAGTAGATAAAACTCGAATTGAGCTTCGATCGTTATATATCAATTAAAAAATATATTTTAAAATAGAAAAACATGCAGCAGGAAGGTAAGTTTTGTCTTTCGCTTTAATTGTTCTTCATGTCGTGATTTTGCGATTGATGCGAAACTTGTAGAAAAAGTTCGCGCGAGCACGCAAAGCAGCGGCAAGTTTATCGATGCAATGATCGCACAATGGATGAACCAAACGGGGAATAATGATGGATTACAGCAAACGGAAGAGGTACGAATTGTTACAAACAGCTCAAGAGTAATTTGTATGATGATGACTTCAATCAAACTCCAATAACTTAATCGTGAATAGAAATCTTAATTTTTTTTTATTTGACACGGAAGGAAAAACTAAATATAGACATAATGAATTATACAGCTCGAAACTTTATTTTATTGAGCTTTCTTCAGATTAAATTAATCGCCGCTTAAGTTGATTCAAGTTTGATCGAAGTTGCTCGATAATAAGCAAGGAAAGTAATTTTTCATGAATACTTTGTGGAAGTAGCAGGTGAATGAAGGTTCCTGCACACATGATGACAAGCAGCAAGACCAACAGAATAAGGACCGTACAATCCAAAGTCTAAGACGAAAACTGAAGGAGAGCCAAGAGGCGCAGGCTTCTTTGTCCGCCTCCTTGGAGATAGACACCCGCAACAAGGAAGAGATTCAAACAAAGTAAGCCTCATTTCTTACTTTTTTGTCGTAACACGAATCTCTCTTATATATTCTGCGACTTGACTTTCTTTTTTGGCGACAACAGACTGAACGCAACTTGGCCGTACATCGAGAATATCACGGAATATATGAATTACATCAGAGAGAGCCTTGCCAGTTTTCAGCAACACCGCGTTAGTTTATCCACCTTATACGACGACGTGATTCTAAAGCAGCAAGAAACTATCCAGAAGCTGCAACAGAATGAGGCGAAATCGAAAGGCACGCTTTTACATACATGGAAAATGTTTGAATCTTAATTTTAGGCTCATTATTAACAATTATAAACAATTAATTCTATAATTGCAGATATGGAGAACTGTGTTGCAAGATTGAAAAATGAATTGCAGCTTCAAACGGAAAGGTATAATTTTCGTTATACTTCTGCTAGTTTATAATTCGCGTAAACAAAGATTTTTATCAAAATCGTTTCTTGAATCAGATTACAAGAGAGGTCGACAGAGCTAAATAAATTGCGGAAGCAATTGGAAAATTCTGAAAACAAGCTGCAGAGTCAGAGGAATGAATTGGCGAATAAACATGCTGAGGAAAAGCTGATGCTCGTCAAAGTATGTTGTTTAGGCAGTTTTTAAAGAGGTCCCACAATTTTTTTCCATAATTTATTTTGAATGACTTTTCTAATTTAGGAACAACAGCGATTGCTATCGGAATGCGAGAATTTACAATCGCGACTGCAGACGATCGAGAAAGAGAAATGCGACATCGCGAAATCTGCCGCACAAGTGGAAAATAAATTGCTACTTCAAGAAGAGAAGTAAGTCATCGCACCACACACAATAAATTGCACGAACGTAATAGTGTTAACTAAGCAATTTTTTTAGAATGCAGGAGGCACTGATGGAGCAAAACAAATGGCAAGAACAAGTAAATGACGTCGAGCGGAAATTCCATTCACAGAAACATGAATTAGTGAGCGCACACACTAAGGAAAAAACATTGTTCATTGAAGTACGTTAAAAAGAAATTCTAAATCTTTTCAGTTCTTTTCTTTTTTTTATTAATATCGTAAGTTTAATATCTGTTTTAGGAACAACAGCGACTAGAATCAAAATTCAAAAGTTTACAATCCCAACTGAATACACTAGAACAAGATAAGATCAATATTACCGATATGATCGCGCAAAAGGATGCACTTGTCTCAAAATTACAGAATGAAATCTCCATGTATAAGTGAGTATTTATATTAATCAAATTTGATGAAGTTTTGAAAATAAAAATATCTTTCAGATTGTGTGTTCTAATAAAATCGTTAAAATTATTAAGATTTGAGTAATTTGTTTTTTTTTTATGACAGAAATGAAATCGAGGTGATAATGGCAAGATATAATCAAATGTGTGCTAAGAGCGAAGCATTACTGGAGACGCAAAATATGCTGGAGAATGAATTACGTACAAAAGCGGAAAAAGTAAAATAAATTATGTACAGGCTCGTTCACACAATAATTTTGATCAATATAATATTAGTCTTTACTAATTCAATATTATTTTCTAGATTCAGAATTTAGAGACGATGTTAAACTCATTGAAACTAAGGGAGACAGGTTTCGTCAATGACATAAACAGAATAGAAAAAAAATTAAGTAGTGAAATAGATTATTCCAAGAATCTCGAAAATAAGCTTTCAAACGTGCAGAAAGATTTGCAGCTCGCACAAAAGCAAAACGCTGAAATGCAAAAGATTCTGGAAAAAACTAAGAGTAGCAACGAATTTTCTATTAACACGCTTCAACATCAACTAAAAACTCTTCAGAAAGAAAAAGAAATTATAACACGAGAAAGCACAAGGGTTAAGGTAATAAACAAAAAATTTTAGTGTAATAAAATTTTCTTAGTTTGTGATATTTATAAAGTTTCTTGAATTTTCTTAAACTCTTTTAGAATGCAGAAAGTTTGTATGAAAATACATAAATCAAGCTCACCAATAGAGTATCAGTTTTAAAAAGCCATTACGGAACACAATCAGTCGAGAGTTACAAAATATTATAAATTATCAAACTAAAATGATCAATGACATCAAGAGAGAGAGAGTACACAAGTAATATATGCTGAATAAGTTCTTGATGGAAACAAGAACGGGCAATAGCAGATTAAAGAATAATTATAAGTTTATTATTGTAGGCGCGCGACAAAGAAAATAATCAGGGCACTTTTCAAACCTATGAGTCCTTGACAAAAATTGTTCTTCAGAATCGATATTTTTTCGGCATGCTTGAAGATTCATACAAACTTTCTGTATTCTGCAAGAGTTTAAGAAATAAGAATTAATAATTTTTTTGAATATGAGATTGAGATTTTATTAATATGTTGAATTTCTTGTTTGAATTTCAGGTTTCTAACGCGAGTTTATTGGATAGCGATGAAGATACATCGTCAGAGAAACTGATTCGTACATCTTTCAAAAAAAGACAAAGCCAGGACAAGGTAGATATTTATACGTTATTAAATATAAATATAATACAAGAAAGTCGAAAAGAAAATGCTAAAAGTAAAAAGGGATAATAATATAATGAACATTTCTTTGCAAATAGGAGAGTTAAGAACTATTAAAATAAGTGAAAGTGAGAGCGAACGAGTTTTTTAATATATATAATCTTATTTATTCTTTTTCATTCACTTATCGGTTCAGGATGTTGAGATAATCACGTTTCATTGATCTGTTTGTTTTCTGCTTTATACAGCAAGATGTGGTTCCATCAACAGGAAAAAAGTTTTTCAAATCGCGTCCTACTCAACCACGTACTTATACCAAACGACGAGAAGATTAAAAAGGTATACAAAGAGTTTCAATCAAAGTTAATTTACAATATATTTATAGAAAATGTAAAATTTCATCCAGAAATTATAAATATGAGTTAGAAGCTGCATTCGATGTTAATTTTTTTTCGTTTAGCTCTATTATTATATTATATTAAAGTTGTTTTTTCTTATATGTCTTCAATATATGCATAATATTTTCTCATTTCAATTTGAAATTAATTTAAAATGTATTTATTAAATACATAAGATTTTAATCAAGAAATTATAAATATGAATCAGAAACTGTATTATAAATCTACGCTGTTAAATTTATAATGTCAATTTAAATTTAATTTTAAGTCATTTTTAATCACTTTTATAGGTCATCACAGCTCCTACTCAATATGTCATTACAATTCAATCAAAATAATAAAATTAGACAATTTAACTCAAGAAAATTTATTAAATTTAATTCTTTAGTTTACATTTACTAATAAAAAGAGAATACGTTAATATGGATATTGTTTATTTTGAAACTAGTCACATAAATGGATTGATTTATATTTTCGAAAAGTTAAAAATAATAAAATGTTCAAATTCAAATTCAAGGGATGGAGCTATCGTTACTCCTTTGATATCTAATAATGTATCGAATAGTTGCATTTAAGATAATGTTAAAAATACGGAGTCTCATCATCGCGCTCTCAGGAAAAACACCTACGCACCTTCGACACGGAGCAGACGATATTGTAGCTAGTGCAAGAACGCAGAAAACTTAAATTTAAACGTGAT